CATTAAGTCATTGTAGTTAATGATGAGTGATATGAAAGAAACAAAACAGGCTAACCTATTTGTTGGGTATCAACACCTGTTGAAACAGTTAAACCCAGGATCTCAGTGACTTGACACAGTAGAAGCGTTGTTCTCATTCATGGAATGTCCAGTCAGAAGGTCCTGATTGGTGGCTTTTCTCCTTGTGGCAGTCCAGAAACCCAGGCTCCTTCCATTTGTGCTCCTCCATCTTCCAAGGCCCCTCTGCCTACAGCCTGGAAAGAGACAAAAACAAAGAGCTTAGAGGATTGTGTGGGATCTTTTAAGGGCCAAGTCTACATGGGACTTATTTCACAAGTGCCCACATTTCACTGGGCAGAACTCAGTCACATGACCACCCCTGACCTCAAGTCTGGCTGAGTCCCAAGAGGAAGAGGAAAGAGCTTTCATAAAAGTTTCTGCTACTGTAATGAGTGGATATAAGGGAGGGAGCAGGAATATTAGATCCAGACATCACAGAAAAGGTTGTGTTGGAGTTGAAAGCAGAATGGCAAGATGGACAAGGATATGTCTATGGCTATGTGAAGACATCCAAGGTAGGAGAAACAGGAAATACAAAGTCAGGAACATGCTAGGCCTGTCAAAAGAACAGGAAGACCGATGTGACAGTGTTATGTTTTTATGTCTATATTTACTTATTTATCCTGACAGGAAACAGGAGGTTTCTAGATCCAAGATCAGATCATTTATTTACTCACTGAGCAGCTGGTGTTGATTTGCCATCCCCCAATTCCCCGTGGGGAGAAGCAGTGAGAGAGCCAGGTGTACCTCGGGGGTGCAGTGGGGCTATGTACTATGGAAAGGACCCTCCCAAATTATTAAACTCAGAGCCCCTCCACCTCTCCAGGGAGGAGAGAGAGAGAGAGGAATGTTTGTTCTGAAATATAAAAACATCCTCTCTGGGAAGAGGAGGGGAAGGCCTCTAGGCTTCCAACCCCTGGGATGTAAACAAATGCCTCAGGAGAGATGCCCCTAAGTCTCTATCTTTAGGGTTGCTCTTCAATCATCCTTTAACCCAGGTGTAGTACTCTTTGCTCAGAAAGCCCTGACCATGTAGAAACATGAACATATTCATGGAACACAGGACATAAAGGAGAATGATAAAGGATGAAGTCAGATAGGCAGACAGGAGCCAAACAATATACAGCATTTGGACCTAAGTAAAGAGTTTAGAATTTGTTCTGAGAACAATGGTGATTGTTTGAATGGCTGTAAGCAGGAGCACAGCATGATCTGATTCAGGTTTTATTGATCACTCTAGGGACTGTGAGAGGAATGGATGGGGAGTGAGGTGAGAGTAGGAGCAAGGAGACCAATAAGGTTGCTCCTGCTGTGTCATCACACTCCATAGGATAATACCCTGCACCGCAGTGGTAATGGTGGAGAGTGACAGAGGTGGGCAGAGTAGGGCTATACGTTGAAGAAAGTGCTGATATACTGGATGAAGGATGAGATGGGAGTGGGGGATCTAATTCTCAGGTTTTTGATTGCCTAGGATTTTTGCTTGAGCAGCTGGTGATGCCATTTACTTAGAGGGAAAGATTTGGCAAGGGTCAAGATGGGCAGTGGGGAAGTAGTAAATCAAAAAGTCTGCTTTTGCATATTATGTCTAACATGCGGTATCAGACAGGTCACCAGCAGGAAACACATGACACATGGAGTAAATTCAAGTTGAATGTTCACAGAAACGTGAACAGCGTTAAGGAACCCAACACAGCACCCAAAGGCTAGCAACAATGGGAAGCCATTACTACCCCTTCGTCTGATGGGGTAGGTCAAGAAGAGCATTACTGGACACAGTACGAGCTGTGGCCATGGGAGAGGACCCACACAACAAGAGTTGTGGGATTAGATAGAAGACAGGGCCCTTGACAAAGTCGCAGCTGAACAGGAAAGGAGCTGAAGTGGTCATTTATCCATCCTCTGCGTATTCCTACTCTTCCATATCCTGCTGGTGCTTTCCTCTGGCTGACCCCAGAGGACAGAGGGCCTGAGAGCCCAAGGTGATGTAGTTAGTAGAGAGCAGGGCAGTGCCACATGGGAATGAATCTGAGGGACAAACAGAATAAACAGCACTGATGCCTAAGACTCCTTACTGGGGTCTTTAAAGAGGAAGACAGATAACTAAGGGTGGAGACGTTGATTTGGAAGTCATAGCATTTCAATGATTCACGTTTCAAGTTAAGAGATAATATTTATCGGCTTCTTACTCTGTTCTAGGCACCCTACCAAGATTTCACATGCCTTATCTCATTTAATTCTCAAAAGAAACCTATAGGTTAAATACCATTACCTCATTGGACATGGGTACCGGTATTTATCCTATAGGTTTGTTTTGTGAATTAAATAAGGCAGCTGAAAGACAGTGAAGTGAAGCAATTTAAGGTCACAGAGCTATTAGACAGCAGATCCAAGAATTAAGTTCCAAATGTTTCTCTCCCCAGGGCCAGTGGGGAATAGCAACCATACTGCACACAGCTTCTCTGAGAATCAAGTAGGGGAGCAATGACATATTAGGTCACGTGATTTCTGTTTTTTTGTAAGACTCTTCCCTTTGTTTTATTTTTTCCACTTCTTTGAAAGAAAACAATTCTGACGAGAATTCATCAAAGAAGATACTCCAAATTTTAACATCCTGGTTTGGGTATTACATTTGATTAAGGCTGTTTGCAGACAAGAATTTTAGTAACCCACATATTCCCTATACCACAAAAAGAGGAGAATCACTTTTATCTTGGGAACAAAGCTGGATAGAAAATCTTTTTTAACTTTTCTTAATTCATGAAACATTTATCTTCAAGTCAGGTTCTGTTATAGCAGCACAAATGTGGTCCGTCAGCATTTCCATTATAACCCCATATTTCCAGGGCTTTTCAAGAGTGCCTTAGAGATTCTACTTTGAATTAAAACTTGGCATTCAGGATTTGAATCAGAAAACTCCATTTTCCTTACCAGTTAATTAAATAGTTTAGAGATTTTCAATTTAGAAGAGGACCAAACGTAAAACTTTTATTAATGCAAAAAATATTTTAAGACAAATTTACATATTTTCTAAAGTATTAACACTTGCTATGCGAGTATAATGTTATATAACTATATACGATATTGGTTCTCAAAGAAAATAAACCATAAAAATTCCTAAGATAATATATGAAAGCTAATTATAACACATTATACTCTACCTTTTTGGCTTTGTAAGTAATTTATTTCTACTTTGGGAATTTGGACGATTTGAACTTCTCAGGATAATTGGTTTAAAGTTATAACAGTATGAAGATACTGAACCAAAATAACACAGGCAGGGGAGATCCTGAGAGACTGCCAAAGTGTTTCAACATATTTGTATGTTAAATTTATGAAATTTCAATTCATATGGGGAAATTTTGCATTCTGTGAAAAGGGATTAATAGCATGCATTAATTCTGCAAATAGGTATTTGAAATTCAACTTGCTGAATGCAATAGCAATAGTAAGGACTAAATAGGGCTTAACTGTAAAGCTTTTACAAATTTGCTTAGTTCCAAAATATTCAGTGAATGTCCTGTAACAATCAGGGGACATGATGATGACCCTCGATCCTTAATATCTCGTTTTGTAGTCTTATCTGTAATCTCTCTTCTAGCCTTAAATGGTCTAGGACTAATAAATCCTAGGTAGTGAATGAGAGTAGATGAAGCTTTTCGAGTAAACCTCTTCTCCTGACTGACTTCTCTCCAGCCACATTGGCCTTCTTGTTATTCCAGAAAAACACGAGGCAAACTCCTGCCTTGAGACATTTGCTCTAGCTTTTCCTTCTTCCTAGAATGCTTTTTCTCCAGATGTCTGCTTGTCTAACTCCCTTCCCGACTTCTGTCTTTGTTCAAACCTTACTTTCTGAGCGTGGTCAAACCACATCACTCTACTTGATAATCTGATTTGCTCTCAGCCCCTCAATCCCAAAACTTATGATATTCCTTACCCTGCCTGCCTTTTCTTCTTTTCACATTACCTATTATCTTCTAACACACTTTATACTTTTTTTAAGTGTCTATTCCCTCTGTCTCCCCCTATAACGCAAGGTCAGTGAAAACAAAGTACTTTGTTTTATTTATTGACATATCCTAAGCACCTAGAATTGTGCCTGACATATATTAATTGCTCAAAAATATTTGTTGAATGAGTACATTATTGAATTAAATCTGAATTTCAATCCATAACAAGAACTACAAACAATATTCTGGATATAACTTTCTCTGGTTCTTTTACAGAATTTGGGTTATTTCCTAAGATAGTTAAGAGTGCCCTTTGAACGTTGGTGTCAAAATGAGAAGTCCCACATGTAAATCCCCTTTGTAATGTGTTATGAGCCCATTTTTCCTGGAATCATTTAAACTGAAGCTTTGGAAATTTTTGTAGTTAATTTTAGCTATTGTTGGCAAAAGAAGACCTAAATGGGTAGGTGTGAACTATGGTTTTCACAAGACCAATGCTTCTTTTGTGTTAACAAATACTACTATACATGTTTTACAACATTTTTATATATGTAATGATATTAATGCCAAACTGTGAAAATTCAAGAATTAAAAACAAAAAAGAAAAAAGAGCCCCACACCCCCAGCAGTGGTGGAAATGATGTGCTGAAAACAAGAACCTTCTCTAAGGGCTTCACTGGTTGACCCCATGGCTCGAAAACTATGCTAACTGCAAAATGGAGTCATTTAGCGCAAGTTCCCTACCAGCTCAATGGTGCAAAGGTGAGGACAGTAGAATTTCAGTGTAGACACTGGTGGCACGATCACCAGCATAGCCCTGTCTGATCCTGAATGGTAGCTGATAGCAAAAGCTAATGTTTTCTATCATGAGAATATATTAATTTTATTATCAGACTAAAACATTCCTTTGAAACAAATAAAATTAATTATCCTTCAATTTCCTTTCACATATTAAATGGAATTTGATTTTATGTCTGCTTTGTCTTCTAGGGTAAATGCGAGCAGTCACTTTATGGTCATATGCATTCTATCAATGATGCCACCTTCAGTCCTAGGGTGAGTTCAGTTCTCCCATAAATTTTTTTAATTCTTCATATGTGCAAAGTCATTTTAACAAAACAAAGTCCCAGGGGAAATGGTAAGTTAACAGGGTGAGGAGGAGAACAAATTTGGGAATTAATTATGACAACAGAAAAAATATATAGAGTGTTGCAGAAGGTAAAACAAACACATAAAACACAGTGATAGAAACAATGAGGAATTCTCCTATTGTACTTAACTCCACTTAAACACATTTCTTAAAGCTTCTTGTCTAATTTGGGCTTCAAGAAAGTAAGTGGGATATAGACTTGTAAACATTAATGTAGAATCATAGAAATAACGAAAATGCTTGAGAGGAAACCCAAGGGAAAAAAAAACCCTTAAAGAAACAGGGATTTTCTTCAGGTTAAAACAGAGCAACCTTGATTTAACAGCTTTTCAATTCCTCAAGGAAAGGTTTCAAATATGTCTTTCTTCATATAAACTGATGACATAGCAAAAGTGTTTATACACAACTTGGAGTATTCAGATATCAGGATGATTTCTCCAACGATGAAGATTGTTAAACATCGCTTTGAGTTGCTAAGCTAATTAGGGTTGTCTTTAAAACGGCTCAGGTAGTAATTATGGAAGGATGATTTAAGTTTGTTCCTTCTCAGATGAAAGCTATTTGACCAGATAGATGACCTCTTAAGTCTTTTCAAACTCTATGATTTAATTATATCTAACATTTTAATTTGTCTCTAAGTTCCCAGTAGAGTGTGAATCTTATATTCCATATCCCTCTTCCTTTCCAATTAGCTAAAAAAGAAATCTGATAGATTACCTACTTCTAACTTCACAGTGACAGCATGGTCAAAATTCTGTTACTATCATGCTGTTATTATTTTTTTAGAATGAGGAAAAATGCTCACTAAAAATTATTTCTGCTAAAGAAACATTTATTCCAACTGAAATTGTGCTGGTGTCACAATCAGTCCTGGAATGTTAACGATGGGCTCAACTACAATTATATTTTAATGAATTCATCTTAGTAAGGAATTTCCATTTAATTTACTCTATTGAGCTAATATATTATGGATTAGTTCTAGATACCGAGTAAAATTTTATTTCTAGCTGAATATAGAGCCATTTAAGCACTGTGGACCCATATGATATAGGACATTTATGCTAAAAATCTATTAAGTGGCCTACAGCTTCACATACCCTAGGAAAATTAAATGGAAGCTAAAATGAAGTAAACTAATATTTTTGTAAGTCAGGCATTTTATTTTGGTAGGCAATAACATAGCTGAAATAGACACGCTATTTAACATTCCAAATAGTAAAATTAATAAATATGGAAATAGCCAAATTAGATTTATTGAATTGGCAATCAAGAGAGACAGACATTAATTATACATATTTCAAAGGCAAGATGATGAAGATGAGGTCCAGTTTTCCAACATCAAAGTAGCTTACCTGTTTTTGTTTACACACTTTTTTCATACCAAACAGACTATTATAACACTGTTCTAAATCAACATCCCAAAGCCTCTGAATTTTTCCATTAATTTGTCTCTTCTTTGTTGTAAATATTTAATAAGTATTTAAGAAAATGATATTTTGTTATCATGACTACTACTCCTAAGTGAAATTTTCCAGTCATGTATGTCAATTGTTTTGAAAACTGTTTTAGTTCACATACCTGCTAAGGGATGTCAAGAGGTTGGGAGGCAGAGTGACTGAAAGAGCAGAGACTTGCAGGAATTTAGTCTCAACTCATTGATCGTTGAACAAAATTGGAAGACTGTGTAGGATCGAAGATAATTCCAGTAGTTCTGGGGTTCTGACTAGCTCATGAAAGAGAAGACTTCAGACCTACCTCAAGTCCTGTTCTCACTTCTTCTAATTGATCTTTGTATTAATTCAAATATTGTTATTATGATTTGTTTAATGTAGAGGTGTGTATCTTTACTGCAACTAATTATATAAAATATGGATATTCTGATTCCAAAATGAGTGAATAGTATACAGCCTTAATAGAAGACAAGTCAAATTCTAACTTGTTTCCCATCTATGTAATTCCATGGAAACTATAGCTGCCATCACTAGGAGTGAAGGAAGGTGAAGACTATCAGTTTTATCTTTACAGCAGTTGGAAGTTTTAAATCGATAAGAGGGAAAGGGGTTTAATAGGAATTTGCAGCAAGGAGAACACCTACCCCCCCTGTGTTGGCCTTGAGTCATATGGAGGATAGGAGAAATAATTTCCTGTTTTAGAGAACTAGAAGGAAAGTGGTAATCATGGGTAATGCTCAGGTCACAATTTAAGCCAAGAAGGTGAAGGAAGTGTTTAAAGGAGAGAGTGGCATTATTGGGGAATTGACTCATCATGTATATGGATCACTAGAGAATGGAGTAGAAGGGTATGTAAGAGACCAGAAGGGTAATGGAATCAGATTAAGGGACAAACAGAGATCTTTGGAGATAAGAGTCTAAGTAATAAGGGAAAACATGCTGGCTTGGATGTCTGTCAATAATGAAAATAAATATAACAATTACTTACATTATATATGTCAAAATGGCCGTAGAATCAAAATGAAAACATCAAAAAGTCAACTACTCAAAAAAAATGATGGTATGGAAAAGAGGTTAAGTCCACTCTGTATTTCCTATCTTTAAGTATCTTACCCTGCACTTCCTACCTATAGGTATCGGAGGCTAGGGATCAGGGTTGTTTGATAAGAAATTGATCCAGGAGCTGTGGTCTAAGTCAGCTTCAGTTCAAAGGTCATTGAGGAAAGAAAAGGTTTTTGGAATTAAGTCGGGGATCATGGATCAAATGAGATGTTTTACACTCAAAATATGCCAGAATCCCACTGATTCCCTAAGGCAGATTCACTGCTGTGAACAGATTCATTGCTGACTCCCAGTCACTCTCCCTCATTCTTTGCAGACTAGAGTTCCTGAAATCATTGTCTTGCCCTGCACATATGGCCCATATAGCACTCTGACCACTTACTTCCTTGACCACTTTTCCTCCAACACCCTTTTTGTCCTCAGCTACATAATCCTGCTGTCAAACTCTGAATACTTTGTCATTCACCGTAAATGCATCACCTCTAAGAACTCAATTCCAAGCACTGCTTTTCTGAACATATCTGTCTTTCCAGCTCTTGAGTAAACCCAGTACAACAATGCTTCCACTTCATTGAGAGCTCTCATCAGCCAAAATCTTACTCCCCATCTTATCACCCTTTCTGCCTTTACTTATCATTTTACCCCAGCTTAGTTTCCTCTGCTGCCATTCTAGCAATTCCATTGCAAAGGACTTGAGTTCAATATGACCTCATTCCCCCTGCAATGCTTACTTGGCAAATCTGCATTCTTTGGCCTGTACTAGAACAGATTAAGAAATTCCAGAGGAAGGGCCGGCCTGGTGGCACAAGCGGTTAAGTGCGTGTGCTCCGCTGTGGTGGCCCAGGGTTCGCCAGTTCGGATCCCGGGCGTGCACCGACGCACCGCTTGTCAAGCCATGCTGTGGCGGTGTCCCATATAAAGTAGAGGAAGATGGGCATGGATGTTAGCCCAGGGCCAGTCTTCCTCAGAAAAAAAAAGAGGAGAATTGGCAGATGTTAGCTCAGGGCTGATCTTCCTCACACTAAAAAAAAATTCTGCAGGGAATGATACAATTTAATGTTTTTTATTTAAATTAACTTTAAATTTATGACTCCAAAGTACAAATGGCTACTAATTATTGCTCAACATTTAAACTATATTTCTCTGATGTGTTCACTTCTCTATTCACTTAGTTGTTTTATACCTTCTCCTTAAATATCCTCACACTCATTTCCCTCTCCTCCACAAACTCTCCTCTTATATCCTTGACTCATTCTTTAATGAGAAAATAGAAGCCATCAAAGAATATATCTCATATCTTCCTATTACTACATCTCTAAATGTATGAGCATCTCCAGGCATCTTCCGTGTCTCCCTCCAGTAATCGTGGAAGGAGTAGATCAGCTTCTAAGGCATTTTCATATTTCAGGCTGTACTGTAAATCTCATTGTTTCACTCTTTTCGTAAGTTTACATTTTCGGTTATTCTTTGTCTTTACCTTGCTACCGGATTATTTCTGTCTGTGTATAAACATGTTCCAAAATTTTCTGTATTTAACCATTTTGACATTCCGTCTCTCAATCACTTGCTGTCTTGCTTTTCTTACTTTCATATACTCTTGATTTCTTCTGTAAATTTGGACTCTTTTAAAATTGTCCTTAGTTCCAAATATATGAAATATATATATATATACGGAAAATTTGAGAGCTCTCTTTGAACTGCTGATTTATAATTTGATTACATAATTCTCAGAAAAATAACTTGTATGATGTCAATTTTGGAGATTTAGTAGGACTTGCTTGTGGCCTTGCAAATAATCATTTTTTTAAATGTCCTATGTGGGCTTAGAAAGAATGCATGTTCTGTTTTGGGGCATCCAGTTTTATATCTAAGATAAAGATTGCTATAACCATAATTATAGTGCAAATCATGTAAAATCTGATTTTTGCCTGTTTAATCTTTCACATTATGAGAGAAGAATGTTAAAATCTTTCAGCGTTATTATGGATTTTCAATTAGCTTTAAAAAAAGCCTTATTATGGATTTTCACATTTTTTAATTTCAGGTGCCATTTTGCTCTTTATAGAGACTAAATTGTTAGTTGCATATAAGTTTATGACTTATATCTTCCTCATGAATGCTTCTTTAGAGATTCATGTAATTTCCCTCTTTGGCACAATTAAAACATTTTGCCTTAAATTGTTTATTTTGATTGTATTTACATGATATATATTTTTCATCCCTCAATTTCCTTCCTTCTTTATGGTTTCATTTATTTCTCTTATAAGCCATATATACTGTTTTACTTTGTGCTTTTAATAAAATCTAAGTCTTTTAATAGCTGACTTTAATTTGTTTACATTTATTTTAATTTTTAATATATTTGGGCTCTCTTTTACCATTTTATTTTGTGT